TCTCGCTCTACTCAGCCAGCCTCCCCGTCCAACGCCCACTTTACTTGGCAATTTTGTTGAAGCTATGCAATTTACTGATATATGGCGCTTGACTCACCCAGATGGTAGAGATTATACTTTCTATTCTCCCGTTCACCACTCTTTATCTCGAATCGATTATATTTTTTGCAACCCCACAACGTTGCAACATGTTGTATCATCTACTATACATGACATAGCCATATCGGATCACTCTCCAATTTCTATCATGATAAATTTCTTAGATCCTACACCGCACCCTAGGATATGGCGTTTCCCCTCGTTTTTGGCAAATAATCAGGAGCTTTCCCGGCAGCTACAAGACACCTGGGCAGATTTCCAATCTACTAATGCGGCTCATGTTTCTAATCCAAATTTATTTTGGGATACGGGGAAGGCGGTATTACGCGGTAAAATTATTGCTTTTACGTCCGCATATAAAAAAAGAATTCTGCACCATTTCACGGAGGCTAGTAACCTTCTTAGACTGACTCAGCGCAGGATGACGGACTCAAATACGCAGGACAATAGGACAGCTTGGGCGGACGCTAAGAACCAGTTCAACACTTGGGCGGCAGCACAGGAAACACTTCATCACTCATACCTTGACCTACAGTATCACAGGTTTGGTAACAAACCAGGAAAATTTTTGGCGCGCATGTGTAGGAAGCCTTTTACCCCCACACAATTCACCTCTTTAAAGGATTCTCAGGGGATACTTAAACAATCATCGGAAGAGATTATATCTATTCTGGAAAGTTTTTACGCAAATTTATATGGGCCGGACCCTATAGACCAGGCACGGGCGCACTCCTTTCTTGACAGCGTACATCTACCACAAAATTGATCCAATAGCACTGCAATCTTTAAATGCCCCGATATCGCAGGCGGATATTTGTTTAGCTATTAGTTCCTTAGCCAATGGTAAAGCTCCAGGCCCGGACGGGTACACTTCTGAATTTTATAAACTTATGGATAAAACTCTCTCTCCTACTCTACAGCTGGTATATCAGTCTATTCAGGAGAGCGGGGTATATCTGCCATCAGCTTCGCAGGCCCACATTAAATTAATAGCCAAAAAAGGCAAGGACCCCTCGGACCCTGGTTCTTATCGACCGATTTCTCTCCTTAATCTAGATGCAAAGATTCTCTCCAAAATAGTAGCTAATCGTTTGGCCATCATTTTGCCCACCCTTATTCATCCTTCTCAAGCTGGCTTTATAAAGGGGCGCTCGGCCACCTCAAATATTCGCAAAGTGCTCACAGTTTTACATCAGGCTAAACATAACCCATTACAGGATCTAGCGATTGTTTCCCTCGACGCTGAAAAAGCGTTTGACAATGTAAGTTTTCAATGGCTTTATTCGGTCCTCACTAAATTTGGCTTTTCCGGTCCGTTCACGCGTTTAATTCAGGCTATGTATTCCGCCCCGACGGCGCAGGTAGTGGCGGCGGGGAAAATATCCAATCCCATTCCATTACATAAGGGTACAAGACAAGGCTGCCCATTGTCCCCCTGCTTTTCAACTTAGCTTTAGAACCCTTAGCCCGCTTCCTGTTGTTTCAATCACGACTCCATGGCATTCAAATTGCCCAACAGGATCTTCGTCTAGCTTTATTTGCGGACGACATACTAATATTCACCTCCAACCCGACTCTAGACTTACCGTACATTCAATCCGTTTTCGCAGATTTTCGATGCTGCTCGGGCCTCCGTATTAATTTTGCGAAAAGTGAGGTTCTGCCGTTGTATCACGCTCGACTCCCTGAGTGGGCTGGCGACTCACTCTTTAAAATTAATACGAACCATATCACTTATCTAGGTATTAAAATTGGGAAATTGGCCTCGTCCCTTTATTCTCTGAACTATTCACCAGTAATTCAAAAAATTTTAGGGGAAATTGGAAATGTGGAAAGAACTGCCATTATCACTTATGGGTAGAGTCCATCTCTTCAAGATGACGAGTTTTCCGAAGCTTCTGTATCCTCTTCAAACTATTCCTCTCCTGCTCAAACATACGGATATAGTCAGGCTGAATAAAGCGATTTCTAGTTTCTTATGGAGGGGGCGCCGTCCGCGAATAGCTATACATAAGTTGTTTCTTCCTAGATGTGAGGGTGGTCTGGGCCTTCCTAACATTAGGCTTTACAATCTATCTTGTATTTTACGGGTGTGTGTAGATTGGATCTCCCGTTCGTCCGTGTTTTCTAATTACCGACTCGAATCTGCCATGGTGAGCCCATATGATCTGTCGGCCCTCCTACATTCTAATTCTGCCTCACTTCCTCCGCATCTTCAACACAATCCACTCATACGGGACACCCTCTTCACATGGAGGGAGGTCAGACGTAGACTAGGAGTTTCTCCCTGGCTGTCTCGATATCTTCCTATCCATCACAATCCTTCCTTTTCTGTCTCTCAACAGTATGCAGCTTATGAAAAGTGGTATGACCAGGGTCTTAGATTTGTAAGTCAGTTGTATGACTCAGCATCAGGATCCCCCCTTCCGTTCCAACAAATTCTCAGCGCGTTTGACTTACCTTCACATCATTTTTTGTATATTTTGCAAGTTAGGAATTATGTGAATTCCATAGTACAAAATAAGTCTTCTCGCTTTTGTTCTACTATGATAGAAGTCCTTGTAAGGAATCAAAAATACAACATATCCAATATCTATGGTCAACTATCTATGCACTATGCAAAACCGCTGGATTCTTATACTTCCATCAAAACGTGGATACGAGACTTTGACAATGCCTTCACCGCGGAGCAATTGCTCACAGGTTTTAATACTACCTGTGCGTTCAATACGAACGAATTTTGGAGGGAGCAGCAATTCAAAATTATGCACCATGCATATATGCCTTGCCTGTACTCCCGAGCAGACTCATTGATCTCTACATGCCCGCTCTGTGGTTCATATAAACCGTCACTTCATCACAGATTCTGGAATTGTCCACGGGTCTGTATCTTTTGGAACCAACTTTTGAACTTTGTGCTTTTCGTCACTACTCTCCAGTTACCTAGGGACCCGCTGCTTCTTCTCTTTGGCAATCTGGAAATATCAGTGTCTGCTGCCTCACACTGCAATCTTGCTTTGTTCAGAGCAACCAAACCTTGGCTATCCATTTGCTTGATGGCGGCGAGAAGGTCTATTTTGAAAAAATGGGTCTCCAACTGTCCACCTACCATCTCAGACGTCAAATTGGAACTCAACTTTCTACTTCGATTGGATCGGCTTGGTCTGCATATAGCTCCTTCTACAACAGGAGTGGAAAAGTTCAACCGCAAGTGGGGTCAATATGTTTCAAAAGTTCTCCCAAGTCCTGAGCCCCAGCACCCTTCTCATGGTTCTCTAAGCTAGATTTAAGCTAGTTTTCAGGGTATTCCTGATGCATGGTGTTTCTATTGCTCAAGGGGTCAAATGATTGCAACATTATAAATGCTGTGTACCTCTCAGAAATCTCTTTTGTTCTCGCTTTGCTCCACTCCCACTTCGCCAATCTGGCTTATTAATCTCTCTCTCATTTTCCTGGCGGACCTATATGAAGTGGTCCCCTACTAGCACATCTTTATACATACTGATGCGCTGCTTCTCACTATACTTTAATATCTCATTATACTTTACTATCTTATTACTTTATCAGTCTATTACTTTTTTATCCTAATCTCTTTATCCTGGCTTGTTTTCATGGTCCTCTGGCCTCAGACTTTTGGTACATAACTTCTTGTACTCCAGTTCTCCTTTTTTTTTTTTCCCTTTTGGCATATTCTTTATATGCTGGCTTTTCCAACTCTCTGGTCTTATGTCCCTACTGCTCTATCTCTATCCTATATTTTTACTTTCTTTTTTCCTTTTTTATTCTCATGCACGATGACCTCCCTATCGGTCGATATGACAAATGGTTAACATTGCTCACGTCGCTTATTCTTTTGCTTTACGTATGTTTATATATATATATATGTGATTTTTCGAAATCCTGCATACTTTAACTTCAAGCCCTTGTACCCTGACATATTACATGTGCTATATTTTCCCATAGATACTCTTCATTCCAAACTTCTTCATTCCCTCTAGGATTCTTTCGGGGCTTCTGTAATATGTTTATGAGTAAATTGTTATCCTGGAATTTATTCATCTGTTTTGGCATGTTGCCACGCTATGAATACTGACAAACCTCATCGTTGGTTATTTTGTGTGTACAATAAAACCCAATAAAGCTTCTTTAAAAAAAAAAAAAAAAAAAATGTACAAAACTTGCAGGGGATCAAATACATATTTTCCCCACTGTGTGTATTAATGAAAAAAACAAAAAAAACAGCCAAATGTTTAGATCAGGTTTATTGAGCCAATAGGATTTTTTCCTTCTTGTCCTTCGCATGTTAACTATGGTAGCTTATTGGTGGAAATGAGACTGGAATAAGACATGGCTCTCTCGAATCTTAACATAAGTAGAGATTAGCTGTGTAAGTGACCTAGCTGAAATGTTTCAAAGGTACCACCATTGTGCAGAAATCACTCTGTGGAACCCCCTGGGATTCTAATCCCTGGCTGTACCTGGAGTTGCAACTTCTGCCCAATTCAAGATTAAGCCCTACACCCTGTCCTTTACCTCTTAAGTGTATGAAATTCATGGGGCTATAGAGGCTTTGGCTTTTGATAAATAAAGGCCTTTGTGGTAGGGATTAATCACAGCTTTGACTAATTACCAGGAACCATAGTAACAGAACAGCACTCAAGTGGAAATACTTTTTGTAGTCACCACAAATCGGATTAAAGAGGAAGTCTTCCAGAGGGGATTCTATTCTGGTGACAACTCAGAATTTTGGAGTTTTCCTGACTTTTAGTGCTCTTTACATTGGCCACCAAGACAAATGGGGAGAGTGAGTTACCCCAGCCGGGACAGATGACCGTAAAAACCCTGATGGGAATCCTAAAAAAACTTCCTAAAAAACCTTTAATATACACACTGTTTTCCAGGTCAGACTGCATCCACTCCAGCAGCTCCAGCTTCTGCTCCTGCTCCTGTACAGAGTAAACCAGTTCAGAACTCAGGTGAGTGTTCCTATGGCATTTAGTATGCATAGCTGCACATATATTGTTAAATATCGTGTTTTGTTTTGTTTTTTCCTTTTTAAATGGTAATAAAGTATAAACATATAGGATTTATTTTAGAACATGAGACAAGGACAGTGATGGATACTAACACTTTGCAACCTGCCACATTTCACCTTATTGGAGTCAATAAGGTATTAAATACTAATATTTAAAACACTGACAGGCAGGGTTTTTCTAATAGAAGAGATCCTAGTGGTGTTTTCTGTCATAAATGCCTGTCCGCAGTAGTCCAATCTCAGCCACGCATGTGCAGCTCCGACCACATTTACATCACCTGTTACGTGCTGTGATGAAGTGACTGCCGCATGTGTGCAGAAGTGGCATCATCACGGCCTGGCCATTCAAGCAGCTGGAGAGTGCAAACCTGGAAGGAAGACTAGGCAAAGATGAAAGCGCCAGGAGTGGTGACAGCTCAGCGCTTGCAGGGCTCTGTTTTGAGAGGTAAAGTGATACTAAAGGTTCATTTTTTTATTTTTGTAAAATGAGTCATACACCAATCCTCATCTTCTCAGGTCCCCTGTCGGCACTTCTGGCTTCTTCCCCTGCTGAGTGCACCCAGAGCAAGCTGCTTGCTCTGGGGGTACTTGCGCATGCTCACTTCGCTCCCGAGTTGCCTCTGTATTCATAAGGCACACAGAGCTCAGCTCAGCCCCCTCACTGGCTGTGATTGGCAGCAGCAGAAGCTAATGGCTTTGACAATTGGTTGTAAAGGCTCAAGGTTTTTTACATTCATGCATTCTATGCATGAAGGCGAAAAACCTTTTCTGTACAGCATCCCACCCAGCCCCCTTAATACTCACCTAAGCCCCCTCTTGATCCAGCGATGGAGTCTCGCCTATCCCAAGACTCTCTCTCATCATTGGCTGAGACAGCAGCTGGAGCCTATGGCTGTCAGTCACAACCAGTGAATCGATGAGAAAAGAGAGGGGTTGGGCCGAGCTGTGTGTGAACACACGGAGGAGCATGCGTATGCTCGGGTGCCCCCATAGCAAGCTGCTTGCTGTCGGGGCACCCAACAGGAGGGAGGGGCCAGCAGCGCCGACGGGACCCGAGAAGAAGAGGATCCAGGCTGCTGTGTCCAAAACCACTGCACAGAGCAGGTAAGTATAACACGTTTGTTTTTTCCCAATTTAAGCCTTTAGTATCACTTTAATGTTATGCATGTTAATTAGGAATTTCACCAAATTCCTTACTATTATGATCACTGTGATTGGTCCCAGTGATCACATAATTCAGGGCCAATCCAAATAGTCCTGTACCATGTGATACAATAGTAAAATGTAATTTCCTGCTTGTGTGATTGCATTATTGATTTTCCCATCTGCTCTAAGATATAGAAGCCAGATTTCAGGCATCCCCTGCAACAAAATTCAAATTTTTGTGGAGATAATCCTAATAGGAAATCACATCTAAAGGGATGCAGACCCTGCAAGTGCAACAGCTGATTGATAATTATGAAACCACTCCCATTAGATTCACTGGGAATCTGCTACAAAGCTTATTAAAATCCTTGCAATGTGCATAGATCACCCAGAGGGGAATGTTTTTTCTTGACAAAAGTAGAGTTACTCTTTAAATTGATTACCACTGATCTGCTGACTACCCATTGATCATCACTGTACAAGCAATCAGTGTAAAAAGAAATAAAAAAAAAAAATCCTTATCACCTTTCCAGAAGAGTAGTTTTCCCAACCACAGCCACACCAGTTGCAGTGTCCCCATAAGGACTTCTTGACATGTGCGATGCACTCTGAAGAGCCATCCGTTCAAGCAACCTCATCCATTTTAATGGATCATGATCTGCATGCATACAGGGGGTTTAATTCTTTTTACAGCAGCAAAGCATTGTAGCCCCAGTAGGTGTATAAATGCTGCCTCTGCAGCTAAAGGGGGTAGCGATTCGGTGATAAAACTGCAGCTCAACCGCAAGGTTTACTGCCCTCCAACCTCATGTTTTAATGAATTTTAATATTGCAGCCAGTCACAGTTCTTCAATCACCACCACACCAGCCACAATGTCCCCAGACCAGTGTAGCTAGATTTGGTGTTCCTGATTTGCTTGTTTATTGACCATGTTTCTGCCTCGACTGACCCTTTTGCCCGTATGCTGACCATGCCTGTGCCTAAACTTCAGTATGTTCTTGCAAAACACCATTTCCAATCATCCCGTATAGATAACTGCACTCCTTGAACAACACAAACTGTTTTGATCATCCTTTCTTTAGCTTCCTGTACTTCCTAGTCAGTGAACATGGCATTTCTGTGGGCAGCCACGTACCAGTAGGCTAGGCTTGCTTGCCTTATAGGAATTGGGACTGCTATAGGTGGCGCTACATTCTCTGACCACTCTTAAAGAGGCAACGATTACAGTTCATTGCTTTTGAAACAATTGGTTGATTTGTGTGATGCACAAGCTATGTCTGGTACATAATCAGCCCAGGCGCTGAAATTTTTACATGTGGTATCGCCTTACTCAGAAGGAGTAGCAAAATGTGTTTTGGGTTGTAATTCTAAGTATACCCATGTATGTAAGAAGTATCCTTTTAAATTAATTGTTTTCATTTCACATTTTCCATAAATTTGCGGTAAAAAAATAGTCTTCAAAAGACTCAACATGCTTCTTGGAAAATACTTTGGGCTCTTTGCTTTCCAAAAATGTAGCCAATTTATGCTCCAGGGCCTCCAAAAATGTGATGGGTAATTAAGAAATTAGATGTGTAATCTAGGCCCCTTGAAAGCTGGCGTTCCTTGGATTTTGGGCCCCTCTGTGTGGCCAGGCTATGAAAGTCTCACACATGTGGTATCCCCATACTCGGGAGGAGTAGAAGAATATGTTTTGGGGTGTTAATCTAAGTATGCCTTGGATGCATGTTAGAAATATCTTCATAACTTTGTGTAAAAACAAAAAAAATGCATTTTCATTCTCTATCATTTTTGCATTATCTTTTGCATTATCCAAAAATGTGCTGCAAAAATTAAATTTTCAAGAGACTGATTAGAAAATACCATTAGAGTATTTGCTTTCCAAAATGGTGTCATCTTGTTGTTTTCCCTGTCCTGGTGCTCCAGGGCCTGCAAAAATGTGATGGGCAGTAAGGAAATTAATTGTGTAATTGACATGTAATATATTCTCCTTGAAAGACTGAATGTGCTCCTTGGATTTTGGCTCCTTGTTTACATCTAGGATGTGAAAGTCTCACACATGAGAGGCATAGCAGAATGGACTAGAGGACCTCGGACCCTCAGGCCACCCCCATGAAGTCTGTTTCTGATTGTTTGATCAGACATTCACACCAGTGGGCCTGCTGAAGGTCATTTTGTAGGGCTCTGGCAGTGCTCATCCTGTTCCTTCTTGCACAAAGGAGCAGATACTGGTCCTGCTGATGGGTTAAGGACCTTCTATGGTCCTCTCCAGCTCTCCTACAGTAACTGCATGTCTTCTGGAATCTCCTCCATGCTCTTGAGACTGCTGAGAGACACGGCAAACCTTCTGGCAATGGCACATATTGATGTGCCATCCTGGCAGAGTTGGACTGCCTGCGCAACCTCTGTAGTGTCCAGGTATCGCCCCATGCTACCAGTAGTGACACTGACCCTAGCCAAATGAAACAGTCTGGACAGTCAGAAAAGGTGAGCAGGGAAAAAAAATTCAGTTGCCCCTACCTGTAAAACTATTTTCTGTTTTGGGGGTCATCTCATTGCTGCCCATCTAGTGCACCTGTTGGTAATTTCATTAATGTCAAAGCAGCTGAAACTGATTAACAACCCCCTCTGCTACTTAACTGACCAGATCAATATCCCACGAGTTTAATTGATTTGATATAATCTGATTAAAAAGTGTTCCTTTATTTTTCTTTGAGCAGTGTTTTTTTTTTTTTTTTTCTTCTTCTGGTTGTCATCACTGCTTATAGTGAGATGGGAGGTTGGGAGAAAATATCCTCCAGCAGCAAAAGATACATGACAGATCTCTTAACCTTCTCTACTGCAAGGTTTGGCTAGTGCTGCACTACTCTAGTTATAGCTTTATTTAGAGGTGAATTTAACTAAATCTAAAACTGAACTTCATAAGTGTTTTAATTTTTCAACTCTTTTGTTTGCCGTTGCATTGTTGTCTCTTAACCTTTTGTAATACCTTTTTTCGATAAATATTTTATTTGCACATTTTTTTTTTTTCTTTTTAATCATTAAACCATGTTTTGAAAAGTGTTAAAATTATCTCTAGTGCACTAACCCAAAAATTTAAGAATTCTCATCTCTTGAAGAATGCTACTGTTGTGTAAATTTCTGGTTATACTTGTCTGTGGTGACAGTGTTACAGACGTTTACTCCAAAGTCGTATTTGCTATTGCAAATCTTATGAACATTCATAGTTTTCCGATACAAGTAGTTGGTGGCAGTAAAGAGTTAATAGCTTAGTTCACTAAACCCAGTGACAAATCACATTCAGGTAAATTTAAATCTAATTGTAAAGAAAAGATAATAGATATGTGAATGCATGTCTGGCATTTCTGGATTGATCATAGCATTCATGGTCCTTTTCAAAGCAGTTTGGTCTTTTAGCATTATTTATTTATTTTTTTAATTGTATTTATTTTTCGGCTCAAAATTTTGGCCTCTCCTGAGCTTGATACATTTTAATATATAATGCTTTGTGTGTGTTTTATTATTTTTTTCCCTCTACCTCACTTCTGGAATTTCAAAGTATTGGGAATCCTAATGAACATGGTATATTTTTAGAGCTCACTGTTAGGGATTACATCACTGTTTTTCTTGTATTTGGTGCCAAGCAGATTTGAGTTAACGGAATGCCTCATAAGGCATATCACTCTATTCTGGCATGTCTAGGAAGATCTGCATTGCAGACAGTGCCATGATATGTGGGCTCAATCTTCCTTCTAGACTAGACCCTTTAAAGGCTCTTGATTTTATCTTCATGATTTCTCCTGAGTCTTGTGGGTTCCATGGTTATTTTTTACTTCATTGTATTATGGAGGCTTAAAAGCTTGTGTGGTTTCTGACCTGGGGGCTGAACACTGCAGTCATTTACATCCGCCTATATGTGTCTAATAATTCTGCATCTTTTAAGTGTGTGTTTTATTTAGTCATCTTGCTTAAGAGATTTGTATGGATTTTTATTTTTACCACAGCTCCACCTCCTTTCATGAACAGAGGGATATCTAAAACGTTTGGCGGGGGAGGTATATTAAGTACCCCTGGTGGATCTCAAGCAAAGGTGGTGCCAATTGCCAGTCTAAACCCATACCAGTCAAAGTAAGCAACCTTTAATGGATCTTTAGAGCCAATTTGAAATATTTAGAAGTCTTTTTTAACATTTTGACTAAGGATACTGGTCCACCCCTTTTCATTCATTGCATCTCAGTTCTTGCAACCATGGAGGCTCTGTACCACATGCAGGCAATATGCAGTCTAAGATTGTACACTGACATCACCCTTTTTTTGATATTTTCCTAACTCCTCAAAATAGTGGGTCCACAGCTTGCAGGTCACTGTGCCTAAACTATATGGCATGTAATGAAAACTGAAAAGGTTTTAATTCAAGTAGGTCTGTAGCATGTTGATGGGGGAGGCACAACCATAAGCAGATTGAACTTAAGGTTGGAAGCATGGAAATAAATGAATGTGGTGTGAAAAGGGTGAAGAGTTACCCATTTTTAAAAGTTAAAGTCTGTTGGGGAAGCTCATTTCATGGCATAACCTCAGCAGGAAAAAGAAGTTGCAGGTGCAATTTTCCTCAATGTGTAGCCTAATTCTGTTCATGTTGGTAGCAGAACTGTTAATACAAGGGAAACATTTAGTGGTACAGGCATAACATATATTTACTTAATTTCAGAATTTAGATGCATTGCAAGTGTTTGCAGTTGGTGTTTTCCATTGGCTTTGTATTTGAACTGGCATATCAACTCCTTCATGACCAGGATCAAAACACATCTTAATGCCTTAACCCAAATTTGCAAATTTGACATTGTTACTAGATCCGTACATCTCATTGCAACTGCTTTGTGTATCCAGGTGAATTTTATACTTTGTTTTGTTTTTTGTTTTTTTTAGGACAGATTGGACTTTAATTTGATGGTAAATAGTCATGGTTATTTACCGATTTTTATTTTGAAAGGAAATAGTAATACCGTGTTTCCCCGAAAATAAGACCTACCCCGAAAGTAAGCCCTAGCAGTACATTTTGTCGTACCACTAATATAAGCCCTCCCCCGAAAATAAGACCTACCTACACCAGGGGAGAACTGACCATTCGGGCACTGCCCGGGGTCACTGCAGAGCCCCATGAGAGGCTCAGTCTGTCCCTGTATATGCCACTTCTGAAATAAGCAGGCATTGAGGGGATGGACAGTGAGGCAGGCACTGCAGACACCTCTCCTCCGAGTTTCAGCAGAGGGACGGGTCCACATCCCTGCCACGGTGCTGAAGACGGAGAGCTGGAGGGGTGGGCAGAGTATGCAGCAGGTCAGTGTAATTCCCCGACCCTGGTGACAGCACTGCAGCTTTATGTAGGAGGAGGTGGGAGGGAGAAGGCGGAGAGAGGGGGGGCAGAGGGCGAGGGGGGGGGCAGAGGGCGAGGGGGCAGAGGGCGAGGGGGAGACAGAGGGAGGGGGGGAGAGAGAGGCGCAGAGGGGGGGGGGGGGGCTTGCTTTTAAACATACCTTTTTGTGGAGCTGGTGGAGATATCAGTTTGCAAGCCGACGATCCCCGCAGGATGGATCAGATCTGCAGATTGGGGAGGATAATGGATCAGACTCCGATCCATTATGCTCAATCCGCAGATCCGATCCATCCTGCAGGGATCCTCGGAGGGGGTGTCAATAAAAATAAGACCTACCCGAAAATAAGTCCTAGTGCATTTTTTTAACCTAAAATTAATTTGACCGTGTCTTATTTTTGGGGAAACATGGTATAAAAAAAACTTACTTTGTATATTCTTATTCCATTACCATGGCCTACCACCCTGCAAAATAAATCCTACTATTCTACAGACGATTGCGGCAATACCAATCGTAATTTGTTCTTTGTACTCGTAGTAGGGCCAAGAAACCCTTGTATGCATTATGGGTTTTTCGTCCTATCTTAACACGCTGACACTAAATATAATTTTTTTTTTTTTTTTTTTTATCTAAAATACACTGACCCTAACGTTGCCACTAACTGCTACTGACACCACCACTAGCTGAAACACTGACTGTTAACACTGGCTAAACTAGATCAAGGCCTTTAACTAACTAGCTAATCTTGTTTTCCAACAGACTTTTGTACAGAGTTCTCCTTTTTCAAGCAGAGAAGATAAATCATTGTATCTTTACCTGCTTGATAGAGGAATAGTCTGTTTCATCTCTTCAAAGGAGAAACCGAGCAGTGCAGAACTACAAGACATCTGCAGTGGAATACAGTACTTGTAGTTTGTTAATTTAGAGATCTCTGTGGATGAATGGCGGGGAGCCCCTTACAGCCTCCCCGTTTTTAAAATGTCCGAGCGGATATAGGGAGGTGAGTGGGGGGTGCTGCATCGTAACACGTTTGTTACACCCCAACAATGGTTAAAACATGATACTATAGGTTAATTGAATCTTGAAAGGATAAGTTCACCTTTGTACAAAAAATAGTAAAGGCTGTCGGGATTTGTAGTTTTTTATTCACAGAACACAGTGAATGAGTGACGCGGCCAGGTAGGTGGATCCCAGCACAGCCACTTTTTTTAAAATTTCACAGCTCTCAAGTGGGAGAAGATCCCTCGCTAGCTGTCAAAGTGGGGGCTGATTTATTCATAGCACCCTAAATATGGGTGTAACATGTTATGAAAGGTAAACTTATCCATTAAAGCAGGACTTGAAAAAGCCGCTCGCCAAATGCGTGGAGAAATTCTTTAGCGGCGAGCATAGATGATGGAGCGGCTGCGCTCCAAGCCGCATTGTGAAGCCGAGTTCCGGTTTCGGGCTTTTTCGGCACTGCCGCTGAGGGGACAGGTGCAGGAGAAGTCCGCTCTCCTCCGCTGAGAGGAGACACCTTCTCCACCGCTGCGGGGGACTCAAGGAGTAAGTACTGTGTACATGTCCTATCACTATAATGGAATACAGGGGAGCTGAGAAATACATTACTGTATACATGTCATATCACTTAAAATGGAGTACAGGGGAGCTGGGATATACATTACTGTGTACATGTCATATCACTATAATGGAGTACAGGGGAGCTGGGATATACATTACTGTATACATGTCATATCACTATAATGGAGTACAGGGGAGCTGGGATATACATTACTGTGTACATGTCATATCACTATAATGGAGTACAGGGGAGCTGGGATATACATACTGTGTACATGTCATATCACTATAATGGAGTACAGGGGAGCTGGGATATACATTACTGTATACATGTAATATCACTATAATGGAGTACAGGGGAGCTGAGAAATAATTACTGTATACATGTCATATCACTATAATGGAGTACAGGGGAGCTGAGAAATAATTACTGTATACATGTCATATCACTATAATGGAGTACAGGGGAGCTGGGATATACATACTATATACATGTCATATCACTATAATGGAGTACAGGGGAGCTGGGATATACATTACTGTATACATGTCATCGCTATAATGGAGTACAGGGGAGCTGGGATATACATTACTGTATACATGTCATATCACTATAATGGAGTACAGGGGAGCTGGGATATACATACTGTGTACATGTCATATCACTATAATGGAGTACAGGGGAGCTGAGAAATAATTACTGTATACAGTTTTTTATATTTTGGACTCTTTATTCTAAAGCAAAATGTAATTTCATAAGCTTTAATGGGGTGTGGTTGGGGGATGGGTCAGGGTGGGGTTGGAGGTGGACCTGGGCAAGGTTGGGTGGGGCAACTGTTGGAGAGTAAGGTTTGTGCCTGGCTAGTAGGTCTAGACTCGAAATTTTAAGACCTGCTTTAAAGTACACCTGTCATGAGAGAATGCAATGGCCAATATTAGCTCCTAAAACTGTTGCCTGGCTGTTTTGCTTGATCCTCTGGATTAGATCTTTAAGTAAAGCGGAGCTCCACCCAGAAGGAGAGAAGTTCTACTTTAAGTCTTTGTCCCCCGCTCCCCATTAAGGATTGTCACCTTTGGGGAGTGGGTGCCCGAATTTGACAGGTACCTGCTCCCACTTCTGCTGCGATCGCCTGAGGCAATCAGAAAATTACTGTATTTGAAACCGTATAGGCACTTATTTTTACTGTTTTACGTACTGTAGCTGTACCTACAAAAGGGGCCACCCTGAAGTGATGTAGGAGTTCAAAATAAAATTCTTCCATTACTAGATGAATGGTAAAATGCAGTCCACCATACCAAATATGCACCATACAGCACAAAAATCTACAATTCAACATATTGCTATTTATGGGGTCCTGTTGAAAACTGGATTTTTTATCTGGTTCATGATTTTGCTGTGTTTGAAAATGCAGCATCTGATGTGAAAGATTGCCTAAAGCATACCTTTCAGGTTGTAAGAAAGGGCAGGCTAACTTTCCCTGGAGGGCAGCCCATGTCCTATACTTTTCTGCCGTTCCAGCGCTGTACCCACTGGCAGCACTTCAGCACTTGATGTTTTCTTGGTGTTTGGTGGCAGTGTCTCCTGCTGCAAGGCATGGTACCAGTCTCTGACCCTTATGTCACTGCAGAACATAGCACTGAAGGAGGAGTCCGAGAGCTGGAAGTAGGTGGCGTAAAGTGTACTACCACTTCTCTTGCAGGAAATTTTTGTCTGCCTTTTTTATTGGAACCTAACAGGGTCACTTTATAAGTCAACATCTTCATCATAAATCATATCGATGTACATCTAGACCAGTAATAAACATTTGAAGCTAGCGCAGCAAAGCTTTTTGACATAGGATAGTTAATTTACATTTTCAGACAAACAGCCCTATGGGGTATTCAAGAAAAGCAGAATTGTGCCATGCAGATTATAGTAACTCATTGCTACCAGGCAAAGACACTAGATATTGCTTTGAGGAATCAGAAGAATAAGAAAAAGGGGTTCTGTTATTACTGCCTGATAACTTATATTATCTTGTATGTCTTCTCCCCAAATGAGCCTTTCTGCAATCAGAATAATGTGACTACTCTACCCACTCTATTCCCAGCATAAACATTAATGTAGCACATATTATCTGTACATTAGCCCATTTCCACTGCGGTAGTTTAAATGTAAACCTTGTCTGTAGTATTGGATTTTCTTTCAGAACGCAGGCTGTGGTGCTTTAGAGAAGTGAGTTTTTTTGCAGGTTACTAGCTATTGATTAGATTTGTTGGCTGTGCTAAAATCTGTAAAAGCTTCCTGTGGTACCGCACACTTATTGCTGTGCTTTTAAATTCACTGCTGTATCCCATCATTAAACTCCTTATTATACCAGCAAGTCACCCCCTCCCTTACTCTATTCTTTGTATTAATAATTCTCATATGACTGACTTAAAATTTAACAGAGGGCTTAAGAGCTTTTGTATGACATGCTTTGTTTCTAGGTGGACTATCCGTGCTCGAGTTACCAACAAAGGTCAGATTCGCACTTGGAGCAACTCTCGTGGGGAGGGGAAGCTGTTTTCTATCGAGATGGTGGATGAGAGTGTAAGTGACGACCTACAATGGTTTCTTTACTTGAACACATTTTAAGCACTTTGCAGAGAAACTCCACATGTTAAAATAACAAACCGCCCAAATGCTTTAGAAGAATTTTGGTTCATGTCTCTCCAAATGTTTGTGTCTTTGTTGGAGTTCCTGAGATGGAACACTCCAGTAAATTCCTTCAACTCATTAGCAAATTAGATAGTTTACTAGGGATGCACCGATACCGGCTTTCCTCTCCTTGCAGGGATGACCGTATGGGCTAGACGGCTTTTGTTTGGTCAGCACCGTCATGTGCTGACCAGTCAGAAGTCGTCTAGCCTTCTGATTTGGACAGGAATTGCATTCCTGTTCAAACCACATGCTACTCTTTGTGGTGCAATTTGCTTCCATACATTTTGGTATTGACACAAAACGCACCGCAAAGTATAGGTTTGAGTTTTGGGAGCATTTTCACAAGCACTCATGAAAATACTCGGTATTGGTGCATCTGTAGAATTTGCTATCTATCATTTAATCCGATACACTGTTAAGAAACATTGCATCCTGAGATAGACACTGCAGCAAACCAAGTGACTGAGCAGAGCATGTTTAGGATTTTTCCTCTTGCTCATTGCAGACTTCTGTGAAAAACAATGACCTGATCACTTAAAGCCTTTCTAAACCCAAAACCAAAAATGTACACAGAACTCGCTGTACTGTATCTATGGATGAGCAGCATTGTCACCCTAGGCTGCTATTCTGATTTTTACTAAAAATGCCCCCCACTCAATTACTCAGGAGGTGGAGTTCTGTAGTTCACAGAAGAAAGCTGGGAACACTGATGATTTGTTGGTGTTACTGGCAGGTTAAAAATAAAAGGAAAAAAGAGCCTGACAGAAAAAAAAAATGAATGCAACGAAGGACTGGTAAACTGCAATATATTACATTTTATATCTTGGGTTTAGATGCAATTTAAACCGAAAAGGAGATTTCTGGGAGTGTTTGTGCCATGGCACCCACACTGTAAAATGTGCCTTTTATTTGGTCCATTTAGGGAACCTTTGGTTTATTCTGCCACCTTACTAAAAGATTAGACACTGGGAAACAACACAACTTTAGGCTAAATTGGGATAACTCCTCCTACCTTGGCATGCCACCAGTTTTTGTTGGTTGTTGTCTTAGGGGGATGGACATCTTTTCTTATCTCTGCGTTAAAGACTAACTTATCTTACTAGTTTATTTTTTTCTCATTGATACTTTTCCTACCATTGCTACTTGAGCTGGTCTCTAATTGCAGCCAATCTGGTGCAGCCATCATCAGCCTCACCTTTGGAGTGTTACTAGACTGGGCTGTGTGGGGGAACACCTGGAAGTGACCTTTGGACAGTGGGTTCTATGTAATGTACTTTCCAGACACTATTCTGGTAACATGACCGTCCTGGTTCAAGTATTAAAAGATAATGATTAATGCACATTTTTTGCAGGTAAAAAAAGTGCATTTATTAATTTTGTCTGTAGGAGCCTGTAAAGCATTGCACCAGTGATCAGCAGATCGCTGGTACCATGCAGGTCTTCTACAGATATACTGACAGGAAGAATGCATGAATTACCATGGTGCTCCACAGCATTGTGGTAGTTCATTGAGAACTACAGTCTCTCATTCACAGATGACATAAAGGCTTGAAGGTTGCAAGCTGGAGTTTCAAAATGTACCCCTCTGTGCCTTTTATGATTTTAAATGTTTCTTTGAGTTTGCAAAAAAGGACTGTTCTTTTCTGGACACTTGATCACCTTCTATCTCAGGAACTGATTGCTATGGTTCCACAGAATAAAAGATTTTATGATTTTTTTTTTTATTCTCACCTGTGCTAGCCCTAGTCTTTGGACTTTGACATGCTCAGGGTACATTGTTCTATGTTACCTGGACGACTTGCTCCTGAGTGAACAGTCTGCTGCTTCTGGAGGAGTTAGGCTGACTTCTGAAAATTCAGAATCCAGATCCATAGTCCAACCTAAAAGTTGGAATATTGGTCTAATGCTGGATATGGTTCAGTCCAGAGAAATCCTAACCCTGGACAAGAGCTTTGCTTTGAGAACTCAAATGGATTTGTCGCAAACCGACAAATCCTTCAGCTCAACTTTCTCACCAGTGACTGACAGACTTCGGGGAGTGAGTCATCACTGAAAGGTGTTCATGGAACTCTGCAGAACGTGGGGAACCCCAGATTTGGATCTCCTGGCATCCAGGTTCATTGCAAAGCTAAACAGATTCAAAATTCAGGGACGTCTATGGTGGATGTCCTGCTGACGCCATGAGATCAGGTCCTAATTTATGCCTTCCACTATTACATCATCTAGCTCACTTGCTTTGCTGGAATCAAGTGAAAGGCATTCTGGTTATTCTAATTGCTCTAACCCTTCCAGGTCAACCTGACCCCTTGTCTCAAGGTCTGATCTTCCAAACTTTTTTTTTTACCGTTGTTGGCTTTAATAGCATGGCTGTTGAAACCAGGGTCCTAAGAGACTGGGGTGTCTCAGATTGTCATCCTGGCAACTTCAAGACATTTACTACGGGACTTGGAAGTCCAATTTTATCACTTGTGCAGCTAGATCACTGCATCTTGATAAGTACGTTGTGGAACACATCCTGGAGTTGCTAAGGGTCTGGCCTTGAGTACAATCAAAGGTTAGATTTCAGCCTTGGCGGTTCTCTTTCAGAGACCTATTGCTTCTCATTCCTTGGTTTTTACCTTCGTACAGGGGGTTGCCCATATTGTTCCACTGGTTAAGACTGTATTGACTCATGGGATCTCAAATTGATACTTTCTATATTGCATAAATCTCATTTTCAACCCATCCAGCATGTTTTTTAGTCTTTGACACAGAAAGTTACATTTCCCGGATGTCATTTCTTTTGCTTGTAGATTCTTGGGATTTGCTGCTCTTGCTGGAAAGGTGGCTTTCCTGATACTTCACCATGACAAGATGGTTTTACGACCTCAGCTGTCATTTTTACCTTAGGTGGTCTTCTCATTCTATCTTAGCCGGGCCATTGTGTTACCTTCTTTCTGTCCAAAACCTCAGAGGCTGGGGGGACAAGGTGCCTCATACCTTGTATGTGGTTTCATGCAGTCAAGAGTTACGTGAAGTCAACTGCTGCAGTTCATCAGTCTGATTCTCTGTCTTCCTGGAGGCTTGAGGAAGGGTGAAGCAGCTTCAAATCTACCATTTCTCAATGGATCAATCCGCTTATTTCTCAAGCTTACGGTCAAAAGGGAATCGTTCAATTTTCTTGGCACCAGAAGTGTTTGTACCTCCTGGGCAATTTTGATACCAGGCTTTCATATCAAGTTTGTAAAGCTGCCACCTAGTCTTCGGTTCATCCCTTTACAAAATTTTACCAAGTGGATGTTCATGCCTTTTGAGGATGTGAAATTTATTTAGACTTGCGAGCAGCTGTGTGAGGTTCTAACCTGTTCTTGTTTAGTTGTTCGCTGCCTGTTGCCGTGTTGCTCTCCCTTCATGCTTTGAGGCATCCCTATCGTAATGGATATCAAGATATACCCCGTGTCCTGGGATGTATGATAAAGAAAATAAATTTTTTTCGTTTACCTATAGAATCCTTTTCTTGGAGTACATGAAAGGACATGCGGATTCCACCCCTTTTCCTTGCTCGTGGAGGATTATTCCCAGGAGGGGGATTTCCTGTCTGTGGTTTTTGAGGGGTTTGCCAGTGTCCAATCACCTAAAGGTGGCAGCATATCCCTATCTTAATGGATATAAAGATTCCATGTGTCCTGCGATTTACTCCAAGAAAATGCTTTTACAGGTAACCCAAAAATCTAATTTTATTTTGTGGCTCCATCTTTTTGCAACTCTTTTGTATACATTTCATTACTGGAAAGCAGGGCAGCACTTTACAGCTTTGGTAAAAGCTGTATATGTTTAATGAAAGCCTGTTGAATATTTAGGAAGGACTGAATCCGCTTGTACAAACTATAAATGAAGCTATTTTATATCTTGAGCCTCCTCTAATAATTCTGCTACCTACAAGCTTCATTTTCTGTTTTGCCTGATTTTGAGTTTGCCCTCCTAACCTCATTTGATATACATGGGACTCGTCATGCTTTCTATTCTCGGTCACTTATAGAAAAGCAAAGTGAGTAAAATGTTTTCATGTGCAGATGTTGTTTCTCTGATATGAGAACAAAAATCTGTTATCAAATAATTAGCTCTGCTTGCCCTGGGTATGGAGGGGGTGGATGAGTCATCTCAGAGCCTGGGCAGCAACTGCAAGTAGTGACATCTTTGTCATCAAATTAGGTACAAAGCACACTGTAGCCCACACATCACGTGCTCTTTTTTCAGCTAATTAGTTAATCATCCTGATTATTATTAACTAGAGGCATATTGTTTTTTTTTTTAAATTGTGAACTGGCCAATTGAAAATAGTTTTCCCAAGTCAAGTAGTTGCTGTCCTGTATGTAATCTGTATTATTTGGGTCTTGTAAGGTCTGCCAGGCAGCCAAATAGCCAAAGAGGGTTTGCGTTGGTGTGCAAGATGATGCAAAATGCACTTTTCAAAAAACACTAATAGTAATTATGTGAATGCCTTCTTCCAAATGTCACGTACAAATCCAAAGTTCAAGTGGCTTGCTTATTTTAACTGCTTTCTTTCCATATCTTGTATATTTTTATCCTTGTTCCAGTAAAATTCAAAACTTCAGTAACTAAATTTTTTTTTTCAGGGCGAGATCCGTGCTACTGCTTTCAACGAGCAAGCTGACAAGTTTTTTTCACTTATTGAAATGAATAAGGTAATTGTTTCTGTTCCTTTTTTAGTGGTCACTACAATTTTGTATCACAGTGAAGTAATAGGGGTGCCTTCATTACCTGCTGTTATGCCCCAATGATGAGCCTTTGACAGATCAGTTTCCAGCAGTTCTGATAGTGTGAAACTTTGGCCACCTCTTCCAGCCCATTCTTATTGGTTAATGAAACAACCTATTGTAGTAATAAGCCATTTAGAATGTGAGCAGAAAGAGGGTTTGTTTGAATTTCATAGCATTGAAGTGTAATGGGTAAATGGCTTGGAGGACACTGTAGATATCTTAAGTTTTTTTTTTTTTTTTTTTCCCAGTCTAAACAGCTTTTTTGTAACCTCTAGCAGTATCTCTGATAACCGAAAATCCATTCTGTCTTGGATTCTGAAGCTGGTAGGCCTGCTGATATGCAAATCAGCAGCTGATCAAAGTACAAGCATCTTGATTTTTTTTTTTTTCCCATCATTTTGAGGAGTATAAGAATTCGGATATCAGCTATACAACCACTTACAGGTGATTGTACACTGGCAAGCAAACTTTAGGCCAGCCCAGAATAAGCAATCTACCCAGCATGACTAAGCCAAGCTGAAAAGACATCCATCTTCTTAGCAAACAGCTAAGAAATTCTAACCAGTCTTTGATAGTCTTATTTCTTTGCTTTTATTTTTTTTTCTTTGGATTCTTTTTCTATCAACTTGAGTCTAGATTTCTTTCTACATCACTACTTGAGCGGGTCTGTTCATAGCCACAATCTGGATTGGCCTTTTCTTAGATTTTGGATTGCTGGGCATGCAGGACTAGCTTGGAATGTAACCATGGGATATGAACTCTGCATTGTGTAGCTTTTCCAGACCTGCGTGTACTGGAAAAAATAAGCCCGTGGAGCACATTTCAGGTCTACATCCATTGCATGACCCATCTTTTATATCTCACTTTTATTGAGTAAGGCTGGTTGGGCTAAAGCACCGGGAGCCACCTTGCTATTGCACTGCTGGGCACTTTTCTTCTGAATTCCGGGCACCACCGGTTTCCGCACAATAGGGGTTAACACTGAGGTACAAAGTGCTGACATCTGCTGCGTGCATAGGCTTTGTCCCACCATTCAGCACTGAGAGGCAACTATTCTGCTTGTGCTGCTGCTTTACAAGTGACACATGGAACTCCGACCTCTGGTTTGTACTCTGGCCGTCTGACCCTTGTCAGCACCTGCTGCATGAGTGTTTGAATACCCTTGCCTCGCACTTTGGGTCCAGTTACATCTCTGCCATGTGGTTGGGATATATCTACACACACACACTGAACAGTCAAACTGCTATGGGTGACCCAAATCAATGTCCCTAACGGTTTCTGGGGCTTCTACTTTGTAGCCCCTCAGGAAATTGATGCCTGTAATCTGGATTCCAGTGTCCCTATAGTTGTAAGGTCTACACCGTTGAAGGCTCTGTTGAGTGAGGCCATGTTCCTACCCTGTCACCTCTACTGCAGTGTCTCAGGACTTTGTGGCTGTATTCGCCCAGTTCCTTGTGGATAAAATCCACAAAGGTTCTAAGTGTGCCCTGTTGTCATCCTCTGCAAAATGTCTTTAATTGCTTGCACACCATTTACCTGTACTGTTTCTAGAGGGATCCTCTGACCTACTAACTCAACTTGGACCAGCTCTGGGTGTTCCCCACCGTCAAGTTTCTACATAGTCATTATGGAATGCTCAAATGACCTTCTGCGAAGAGTTGGTTTTGTAGATCTGTGATCAGCATGTGCCCGAGGGCTTAACACTTGCAAGATCTGACTGGATCCAACTTCATAAAGTCTCAGAATCTGATACTGTCACCTGACCAGCTTAGTTCCTGTCTGTGGAAGTCTGGTATACAGTGCATCCAAAAGTATTCACAGTGCTTAACGTTTGCCACATTTTGTTATGTTACAGCCTTATTCCAAAATGAATTAAATTAATTTTTTCCTCAACATTCTACAAACAATACCCCATAATGACATGAAAGAAGTTTGTTTTTGAAATCTTTGCAATTTATTAAAAAATAAAAAATGAAAACACGTACGTAAGTATTCCCAGTCTTTGCCATGACACTCAAAAGTGAGCTCTGGTGCATCCTGTTCCCACTGATCATCCTTGAGTTGTTTCCACAACTTGATTGGAGTCCACTTGTGGAAAATTCAGTTGATTGGACATGATTAGGAAAGGCATAAACCGGTCTGTATAAGGTCCCACAGTTGACAGTGCATGTCAGAGCACAAACCAAGCCATGAATTCCAAGGAATTGTCTGTAGAACTCTGAGACAGGATTGTATCAAGGCACAGATCTAGAGAAGGGTACAGAAAAATTTCTGCAGCTTTGAAGGTCCCAATGAGCACAGTGGCCTCCATCATCCGTAAATGGAAAAGGTTTGGAGCCACCAGGAATTTTCCTAGAGCAGGCCGCCCAGCCAAAATGAGCAATCGAGGAAGAAGGGCCTTAGCCAGGGAGGTAACCAAGCACTATGGTCACTCTGAAAGAGCTCCAGCGTTTCTCTGTGGAGAGAGGAGAACCTTCCAAAAGAACAACCATCTCTGCAACACTCCACCAATCAGGCCTTTATGAAAGAGGGGCCAGGTGCAAGCCACTCCTTAGTAAAAGGCAAATGGCAGCCCGCCTGGAGTTTGCCAAAAGGCACCTGAGGGATTCTGAGCATGAGAAACAAAACTCTCTAGTCTGATGAAACATAGATTGAACTCTTGGGCCTGAATGCCAAGTATCATGTCGAAGGAAACCAGGCACCACCCCCTGGCCAATACCATCCCTACAGTGAAGCATGGTGGTGGCAGCATCATGCTGTGGGGATGTTTTTCAGCGGCAGGACCTGGGAGACTAGTCAGGATTGAAGAAAAGATGAATGAAGCAATGTACAGAGACATCCTTGTTGAAAACCTGTTCCAGAGCGCTCTGGGGTGACGGTTCATCTTTCAACAGGATAATGACCCTGAGCACACAGCCCACATAACAAAGGAGTGGCTACGGCCAACTCTGAATGTCCTGGAGTGTCCCAGCCAGAAACCAGACTTGAACCCGATTGAACATCTCTGGAGAGTTCTGAAAATGGTTGTGCACCGACTCTCCCAATCCAACCTGATGGAGCTTGAGAGGTACTGCAAAGAAGAATGGGAGAAATTGCCCAAAAATAGGTGTGCCAAGCTTGTAGCATCATACTCAAAATGACTTGAGACTGTAATTGGTGCTAAATGTGCTTCAGCAAAATACTGAGCAAAGGCTGTGAATACTTATGTACGTGTTTTTTTTTTTTTTTTTTTTTTTTTTTTTTAATTGTAAAGATTTCAAAATTAACTTCTTTCACATTGTCATTATGAGGTATTGTTTGTAGAATGTTGAGGGAAAAAATTAATTTAATCCATTTTGGAATAAGGCTGTAACATAACAAAATGTGGCAAAAGTTAAGCGCTGTGAATACTTTCTGGATGCACTGTATGTGTACCTTCAGATCCTTTATAAGAAAGGAAGTTACCTCAGATCCCTTGTCATCAGACAGGGAGTTGCCTCGGATTTCTCCAAAGCAATGAGGCCACCTCTTCATCTTCGTCCCACACATTGCCATTTCCGCTCAACCTTTTTTGCCCTTTTTCCGTGTCTGTAACAAGTTTAGTTTCTGCGCAATCTACTGTGTCTTTCTCTATGAACAAAATCGTTTCTGCTGTAATCCCACAGCCTCTCAATCAGACTGCTAGCAGGGCTGCTTCTCCCCATATCTGGTAGGCTTCAGATGGAGGGTACCATGAGTCTCAGCCTTGCTTGCATAGAGTTCATTAAAGGGTAAGATCACCTTCATTATGGGTTCTGTCCAGTAGAAAGGATGGGGACTGGGTGAATCCAGATCCCATTTAACACACAATTGAAAAACTTATAAATGTTTAATCCTTTGTTATGGTAGACAGTGTTCAGATCTTTTTTACAACTGATGAGATATCTGCCAGCTCAGTGCACACAGGGTTAATTAATGCAAGCATAGCTCCCCAGTCCCCTCCAAACATAGAAAACTAGTAGTATGATTTTACAGTGCTGGACTTTGCAGAAAAGAGCATCTTAAATCAGAGAAGTTGCCGTTTTATTCTATGTGAATTGGGACATGTAACAAATTTGAAGTGTTATCCCACTTTGTCATTTAAAGTATATTTCCACATTTTCATCCAGTCTCTTGGGAGTCAGATCTTCTCTGGTCGTGGAGATGAGGTTCTTGCACCTAGTAGCTCTGATTCCAAGTGGCATATTAAGATCGTCACTGGAGGGCCTGTTGTCTCTCTGAAGTGTAAGCAGGAGGGATAACACTGGTCTACTACTGAAGGTTCTGTCTGAGAATAGAGTATGTCTTGAGTACCTCATGGGTCCTTCTTTGGCTGATCTATAACCTTTCTTTTTAAAAAAAAAAAAAAAAAAAAAAACTTGGTATATTGATAAAAATTGCACATTCAAATTATACTTGTCAAGCCAATACAATGGCAAAATACTATGCAGCAAATAGTGTATACAAAGGAAATTGTCACAGCTCTGGAGTATCAAAGCCTGTAAATTCAACACATACCGCAGCAACAAATAAGTACATCCATGTTTAAGAACAATAAGAAAAACCAAACAAGAAAAGACTTACGTTACACAAGTAACAAAAAAAAAAAAAAGGGAAGAAAAACCCAGAGCGTGCAATCGGATAAGAATACTGCACACGTATGTTGTTAGACTGAGTGGTTCCATCCAGGCGCCCAGCACCATAAAAAGTTATGAAAGGAAAAAGAAGGGCACAATGTTAGTAGCAAGAACAGCGGGCAGTGTTTGACACCATACCTTAGTTACCCTCTGTTTTAAGTCAGAGACCAAATGAAGAGAATCACTGGTGTGTTGTGTGTCCAGCCAGGGTCCCCAGAGTCTAGTAAACTTCCCTAGACACCTTCTTGCCTCATAGGTTAGCTTATAAAGTGGGAGGTTCTGATTAAACGTTTCCACAATTCAATATGCAGGGAGTTAGAACGTATCCAGTATAATGCAATGGTCTTCCTGGCGTAATTGAGCAATATTCGTAACAATCTTTTAGCTTTAGCAGTCAATTCAATACCATCAAATACCCAGAGCAGACACAACTTAGGACTACATACATTGGGGAGATCAAAATTAAGTGAAACAAATGCTGTAATCTCAGACCCAAACGGTCTGACTTTAACGCACGACCAAACCATATGCATAAAGTCCCCTTGTTCCGACTCACATTTATGGCATGTGGGGGTGGCGCGTTTGCGTATAAGAAATCTTTAGGTGTATAATACATTCTGTGTATCTCCATTGTACAAGCTTGTCCCTAGCAGAGATTACAGTATCAGTATATGAGGCATACACCTCCTTCCAGTCATCTGGAGAGAGGTCCGGCATATCAACCAGCCACCTTTCTTGTACTTTAGTTAGCTGAGCGGGAAGGTCTATCCTGTAGTAAGGATTAATGAGTAGAAATAGGTTGTATGTGATTAGATGAAAGGCACACTCCAGTTTAGAATTACTTAAACGCACCTCCCGGAGTCCCAGCTGCACCTCTGCTGCATGGCATAATTGTAAGCACCTGAAGTGCCACCCTAAGGCAATATGTAGCTCTCTGCAATTGTATAAAAGTTTTAAATATGCCCCTTGAAATAATTGTATCAGGCACTTTCTTAGACCTTATGGCTTGATTTTAGGGATGGGCAGAGGGAGTCCCTGGAGAGAGACACCATTGTGTGCCAGGGATAATGGAATGCCTTCATCCTCCTCCCATTTCCTGCCTACCCTAGTGGGGTTCTTCCCATGAATTGACTTTCTAGCTTTAACTCTATTGGATTTAGTTGGTACTGTTGTACCTAATTTATAGTTCCCAGATAAATCTCACCTGGCAAGCATGTTTAGTCAAAGTTCCATTTCTTGGTCCTAGAATATTAGGGCATGTAAAGGCCTAGTGCATTCCTATGCAGGCCACCTGGTCTCATCAGGAAATGTTTTGTCCTAGGTCCTTTCTTTTTACCTGTTCTTCTAAGCTTTTAACCCTATTACTTTTTTTACATCAGATTGTGGGTTCTCTTCTTCCCACATGGAAAATTATGATTTTACATGTTTTTTTTGTGGGTATTGGTTGATGTCCTTGATAGTTCAGGCTCTCTGTTCCTGTTCTTGTGGAGTCTTCCCCTCTGGTGCTGGGCCTCTGTCTAGGTCGGGTTGATTCTCCATGCCTCCCTCTGGTTGTGTTGGAAGGTTCCCCTATCTGGTAGGGGCGTAGCCTAAACAGGTTTCACATTCAGAAGTTGGTCCTTCAGGCAGTTCCCAGGCTGCAAGCAGTCCCCAGTTCTTTGCTGGACCTGTTAGTGGCTGTTGCCAACCCCCGCAGTTGGATGCTTTTGGAGGTAACAGCAATGGATGAGAAAGAAAATAGGATATTTTAATCATACAGTACAGGATATGGGCATAGCGTTCATAGACGCTGGGCTAAAGGCTTGTACCTTTAGGTGACTGGACTCTCGCAAAGCTGTTGAGCTCAAATCTGCAAACGCTTGTCCTCTTGCCCTATTCACAATCAAGCAAAAGGGAGGCTTTGGAGATTGATGCAATCAAATGCATTTTTTTTCTTAGAAGCCTGTTCATTGAGAACTACAAGCTGTCCGCTGCAATGCATGATAGTACTTGTAGGCATTGATTCAAAGAACTTTGTGAATGAATGATGTTTTTTTTTTTTTTATGGTGAACTTGTCTTTTAACATATGGATCCATAAGATCTGCTGTTGAAGGCATTAAATGGTTTCCTGACCTCAACCCAAGCTTATTTTTAATTGGTAGTCTAGATTATGAAGATCTAAACTAAGTTAGGGAAGGTCTTTTCCTATTCCACTTTGGTTGTTTCAACCTATTCTTATCAGGCTCTTCAGTCTTGGACGGATTCCATATCCTTCTCAATAGATCCTTCCCTTTTCACAAGACCTGCTTTTGACTCTTTCCTTACATCTTTGGCACTACAGAGATTTTATCATTTGCTTTCCCTTACTAAAAATTGTGTTTTTTGAGTTCCTTAATTATTCTTCCTTTCCCTTATACAAGGTAGACAGTTTTCAGGCACACCCTCGGTATTCTCTATTCTATAAACTGAACTACTTATATTCAGAGTGCACTCTCTAACCCAGTTTTCTTCTAGTTGTTCTCCTAACCAGTTTGCCGCAGTCTGCGCCTTACACCTCTGTTACAGAACTGGGCCTACCCCTGTCTTTTTCTTCTAGGTGTAAATGTAAACTTTTCAAAACAGAGATTGTAGATTCACTTTTTATCAATGTCCTTTTTACCATCTTCTGTGCCTACCTGAAATCTCACTCTGCGCCAACAGAATCTACTCACAGAAGTTATCAATCGGTACCCATGGTGGCTCCAACCTTTCAACAAGAAACCTGGAGATTGAGTGATGCAGGGGTATAGTGAAGGCTTCCTCTGGGATGGTGGTGGTGGGAGGTGTCCTTAACCACTTAAGTGTCCAGTCACCCAAAGGTGCAACCCTATAACCGTGGGTCTATGAATACTAAGCCTGTGTCTTGTACTGTACTCAAAGATATGAAATTTAAAACACTTGGTAGTGCTGGTTACAAACTGAGCTATGCTGGGTAGGGGAGGAGTTCTCTTGTGCTGGCCTAAAAGTTTTTTTGTTTTGCAATTGTCAAGTCCTCCTGTAGATTGCAGTATTTCAGTATATGAATTCTTGTGTTCCTCAATGGATTCTGATATTAGTGAGGTCAAAATTCCTTTTATCCTAATAACTGGATCCCCCCTTGCCCTGCAATGCAAGGGTTAAATATTTTTTTCTTTTTCATGAAATAACATCCATTGTGCCCAACACTTCCACCAAAAATGACTAGCTACTCGCCTCCAGAGTATGACCTCCGAGCCAACAGTAGGTAAAGTGTGCTTTCCCTTTCAAGGGTTAATGTCCTAATAGTATGCTGCTCTCCTCTGCTCAGAAGCTCGGACATGCAGGAACATTCACGCATGATAAAGGAACAGCCAATCGTGCTTTCTATTCACAATATTTTAACACTGCGAATAGTTGACCGTCACTTACAAGATAAGGCACACTGCAGTGCAGGGATAAATGCTCAATGTAACATGCGCATTACCACTTGGTAAGATGGCCCCAGGATAACGTCAAGAATGTGTCTATGTACACTCTATATGCGTTACGTCCTGGCAGTACTTCATCAGTAGGAGGCCTGTGTAAGCAGTGGTAGTTTCTCTCAGTGCAGTTTTCTATTAAAACTATAAATATTCTAAAGCTAGGTACCACATAGTTACTACTTTTACATTTATGAGCCACAAAAGCCTCTTTAGTGTGGTTTTCTGATTTTGGGTTTATATTACTACTTTACAGTCAAGCCTTGTGCTCGAAACTAATAATGTTGCAACAACTATTCAACTGTTTTAATATACCATTGGATTAGTTGGTGGCAGACAGGTGATGTTCGCATGATTGGGGGGGTCTAACCCCCAAATTAGTGTTAATGGTGAACACCTATTGTTGCCTGCTCTTGGTAAGTGTCTTCTTTCGAAAGGTTTAAAATGTCTGGAGTGCAGGTTTATTAATCAAACCCTCTTACTGGCATACTTAGCATTGTCTTATTTGTCTAGGTATATTACTTCTCAAAAGGAACTTTAAAGATTGCTAACAAACAGTATACAGCTGTAAAGAATGACTATGAAATGACGTTCAATAGCGAAACTTCTGTGATTCCGTGTGATGACTCCTCTGATGTCCCAATGGTGCAGTTTGATTTTGTTGCCATTTCAGAGTTGGAAAACAAAAACAAGGATACGCTACTAGGTTGGTATTTATATTTGTGGCTGCCAGGCATCCTTCTAGCTTCACCAGGTATTCCTCAACCTGCCTTTTGTCATCCTAGATGTTATTGGCATTTGTAAGAGTTTTGATGATGTTGGCAAGGTGACTATAAAATCGAACAACCGTGAAGTCTCAAAGCGAAATATTCATTTAATGGACACATCGGGCAAGATGGTCACAACCACATTGTGGGGTGAGGATGTAAGTAATTTTTTAAGCGTCCTTTTTTACAAAGATGTAGCTGGTTGGGTAAAGGAAATACTAGAAGAATTTTTTCTAGTCCGGCATGTGCTCACAGTATTTAACCAAATTATTACTAATTAACATTATGGGGGAAACCTGAAAATACAATAACAATCAACTGTCTACCCCCGTCGCCCCAAGTCTGGCGTTACACCGGTACAGCTGCTGAAAGTAATTGAAAATACTGTACCAAGCATTTGTACATTTAGGAGGCATAATAAACTTGCTTAGTAAACCAAAAATAGTTGATGTTGGTTTTCTCTGGCTCAGAATGTATTCTGAAGCTCTTGTACCATATACTCATAACAGCACTTCCAAATAAAAATTGTGTGGTTTAGACTGTAGCGTGATGTCAGAAATATATACAAAGGAAGGAAACTCATATCCTCCATGCTTGTCAGAAATAAATTTGCATATCGTTTCATTATTTTGCTTTGGAGATTGGATCTTGTTTTCTGCCATTTCTGGTACAATTGCTAAGGCATTTTTTTTAAATGATATATACCATTAAGACATATGTTCTTTTACATAACTGGTAATTTGAGGCTGGATTGTGGAAGTATATTTTGCTGTCAGGATACCAGTTGTAGCGTAATGATTGCTTATAAATGCTTTAATACTGAATTTGCACCCTGTGTTTATTATTTAACTTGCCACTTTTTTTTTTTTTTTTTTCCCCTCAACTTTTGTAAACAGGCAGATAAATTTGATGGCTCCAGACAACCTGTTGTGGCAATCAAAGGAGCACGGCTGTCTGACTTTGGAGGGCGGTCTTTGTCAGTCTTGTCATCCAGTACTGTCATGATCAATCCAGATATTCCTGAGGCGTTCAAGCTCAGAGGATGGTAGGCCATGGATTCTAATGTTACAGTGGCCAGTCAAGAGTGTTTAGCAAAGCGTGAAGCCATAACAGGACATGCCTGTACATCAATAGACTCATAAAATATTTCCTCATGTAGACACTAGTGGGCACTCTGGCAATGCCAAATGTTAGAATACAGCACTTGCAGGCCTTTAACCTGTTTGGTACTGGAGAAATGTCTGTGTAATGATTTCCCAAAGCTAGCACATCAAATCCTAGCTGAAGATAAAATTGCAAGTCTTGCATTTAAGAGGCTCAGAACAGAAGCATACATTACCGTTCCTAGGAGTCCCTTGACTGGTTCTTTTCTAGTCCTCGCTATCTGTATGGATTCCTTTAAGTTAATGTAGTACCATGGGATAGCTGGGGAACTTGTCCTGTTTCTTAACTATGGTACTAAAGATGCCTGCCATACATAAATATCTATATGGCTATGTGTTGATTGTATAAAAATGTGTGCTTATATAGATGTGTTTATCTAACCCTGCATGCTTTCATATAGATACATATTTAGTTCAAAGGGATATCCAGTCATACATGCTGAGAAGATATGCATAATGAAAACCTGTTTCTGCTCATAGCGGTTTATGAAACACTGCTCTTTGCTGTGCTTGTGTGGCAGGGGAGATCAATCTGCAGTAAAAACTGATGCTGAGCTGCAGTAGAATTTATCTGCTCAGCATGGGAAAACTCATTGCGATTTTCAGTTTAAAAAAAAAAAAAAAAATGCAGCTAGTAAAACTCCCATGCAGCGTCAACCTACGATTGCCCTAGATTTCTTAGTTTGCATCACACCAATTTCTATTTGACCTAGCTTATGGGTAATTTGCAAATGCCTATGATAAAAACTGATCTTTTACACTCCTATCACAACTTAAATATTAGATTTGAATTGTTTTGGGCCTGTCATCCTCTAGAAAATTTGCATTTTTTCAGAACTTGGGGGCGCAAACTGCCATTTTTTGCAAGTCTAAGAATACAGGAAATACATTTTTCAATGTGATACTTCTACAACTGTGAAACACATAGGAGTAAGGTTAAAGAGAACCTGTCAGAACTGTTGCAGCTTCTATGTCACAAAGATACCATTCCCTGATTGCTAGAAGCAGTGCAGGTTCGCTAATGGGTCACACTATTTTGATATGCCCATACTAGATTTTTGCAATGGTTTTTTTGCTACCCAGCTCTTGTAGCCTCTAACATTGTATGGAAGCTTTGGCATTGCTAGGTTGTCCTGACAGGTTCTTTTTAAAATAGATTTTTTTTCTTATGCAATAAACTCTTATCTTAAAGGTTTGATTCAGAGGGCCAGGTATTAGAAGGTACATCGATCTCAGAGTCTCGTGGTAGTGGAGGAGCAGGAAATACCAACTGGAAGTCCTTGCTGGAGGTGAAGAATGAGAATCTGGGCCATGGTGAAAAAGTAAGTAAGGCATCAAAAGAATGCTTTATGTATCTGTCTTCTAAGCTGGACCTCTGTTCTTGTATCTGACCTTCACTATGAAATAATTGTTTAGTAGCTGGGGCTTAGAGACATAGCAGATTAGTCTGTCAGTTATAGAAGACTGAACTTTCTGTTATGTCATTGAATAAATGCATTTGCTGTAATTTCTGCCTTTTTACTTACATTTGAATATCTGCTCATGTCTGGCTACTCCTATTCTATGTTCTCTTTGAGAGTGCACATCTAATCAAATTGCTGCTCACTCCAAAATAGCCGTGTGAGTTGTTTGAGATGTATATTTGTGCAATTTAAACATCCTGTTCTCTCAAGTTCTTGAGCTGTTGTCATGATCATGTTATACCACAGAGTATTTGCTCACTTCGGTGACAGCTGTCTCCCTTGAGGGAACTTTGCTTTGGGGATATGGTGCTGTCTTCTGTCCAGTCTTTTTCTCCTTTTGCATGCCTTGTTTTGCTATCTCTGTACAACGTGAAATGAAGAAACATGCATACCATTTTCAACTGCAGGAGACACTTGCGTACTAAAGCGGAACTTCAAGCAAAATTTTTTTTCATTTTGAATAGAGTAAGGAAGGGTTATGACCCTTCTGTTTTATTTTTGTAGTCTCTGTCCCATTTGGGGAGATTTTCCTTCACTTCCTGTTCCATAGCTAAAACAGGTAGAGAAGATCCCTCAAAGTGAGGGAATCCTTGGTTGTCACCAAGGTCATCAGAACTGATGTCCCATTGAAAGACATCCTCTCCCAGTTACTGTTCTGATGACAGCCCAGAGTTTGGGATTTTCTTTTACTTTCGGTAAGAACAGTCACCAGGACAAATAGAGTGAATCTCCTTAATAGTTGCACAGTTAAAAAACAAAAAACACAAAGTATGAATAAAAAGAAATGGAAAACGTTCTTTTTAAAACCCCTTTAAGAATTTTGCATATCCAACCATTATTGAAATGGCCTTAATCCTCTTTCTCCAGGGTCATAGGTTAAAATATAACTTGTGTCCAAGGGCAATGCAATATTTTCCCACAGATCAAGAGGTAAGAACAAATTTTGGTTTTTGCCTGCAGACGCTGTTTAGTCTGAGAGAGTGAAAAATGGTCTTTCCTGGTAGTTTGAGTTATTGGAGCCCAGGAGCAGTGTCTGGGATGTGTACATGGGTCAAGAAGTAAACAGGTTTACTAATAATGTGATGTTTTTGACTTATGTTTAGATGCATGGTACGAGTTTTGATCCTTGAATGTTGTAGATTTTCACAAATGTTTTGTCCCTTGCAGGCTGATTATTTTACCAGTGTTGCTACCATTGTGTATCTTCGAAAGGAGAATTGCCTGTATCAGGCATGCCCTTCACAGGATTGCAATAAGAAAGTCATAGACCAGCAGAACGGCCTCTTTCGCTGTGAAAAGTGTGACAAGGAATTTCCCAACTTTAAGTATCGCCTCATTCTGTCAGTAAGTACAACTGTCTAGAAAAAAGGGAGTTACCTGAGTATTGGTATACTGATGCTCTTTTAACTGTACACCCATAAAGATACAAACATTGATAAATTTGGGTGTCTGTCTTTTTTTTCTTTGGGTGGGATGAAGATTAAATACATTTAATAAGATTAAAAATTGAATATAGGAGGGTAATGTATTCTTTGTCTTTAGGTTTGTTTTATATGGCCGAATGTGTACCTCTGGTTCAAAACTTTCAGATTTCTTTTGCCATCTGTCACTTTTGGGGACATTTCCCCATAGTTCCTGTAGTGGTGATCACAAAGACAGCAATAAAAACTTAGTTCATCTAACCCTCCCTCACTATAATTAAACTTTTTTTTTAAATTCCCTCTCAGGTCCCACCCCTCTGTTTTTTATGTGTTTGTTTTTCAGTCTTTAGTACTGCTTTCTCACAAAACTGAGGCATGCTGGGTGGACAGAAGGGTAATATGGTGCTGGCTTACATTTTTCTTTAGTTTTCCTTCACAGTTGGAAAGATTTTTTGTCATCCTGATCATAACTACCGATTTTAGCGCTTTTTAAATTTCACAAAGGCCGTTTTCACACTATGCCGTCCTATTACATGCACCATATTGTGTTATTGTGCGTATTTAGAATGGGCTGCTAATACAGGGCCAAAGGAGCCAAACTAGGCCTGTTTTGTTTTTTTTTTTTTTTTTTTTTTTTTTTTTTTACTTCACCGCCTGTCGCCTGCACAGAAGTGGCTGGGCAGGATTCTAATTGAATGCACTAGTGCATCCTCCACTTCTAGGTCTTGTGCGGTCTGTGACCACCAGATTACAGATCGATGTACTGGGCTGCTGTGAATGTTCCTGGTACCATGTGATCGTTGTAATCAATCACAGCGATCCCATATAAGTGGTAAACAATGGCAATCATTCATGATGCTGTTGCTTACCACTGTGTGTACTACTGTGATCTGTGTGATTTGGACATGGTATGGGTCCGTCACAGCAGCCCTGTACCATGTAATAGCTGTAGTCAATCACAGCTATCACAATAGTAAATACTGGCATTATGAATGGATGCCAAACAGTGTGAATGATTTATTGCTTATGGAGCGATTACAACAATCATAGTTTAACAAAAAAAAAAAAAAAAAAATGATCGCTCCCCAACCCCATGGTGACACTGCTATGGTAAATGGAAAATAAAAAAAATATATATATATATATTTTGTATCGCCCAGAACCTGTAGTTCTGAGCACTGGGCAGGTGTTTTTTTTTTTTTTAATTTATTTAACCTTTAGCCCTTCTGCGGGCAAGCAGCAGGGCTCACCTGTCAGGTGGAAGAATTCGGGTGGCAGCGCTGCTGCTGATTTGCTTCCACACAGTGCCAGCCGTCCGCGCTCCCCTCGTGTCCTGACCCTGAAGTGACGTTAAGATGCAACTTCCGGTTCCCCGTTGACAGATTCCTGGCCATGGAGGCCGGGAAAGAATGTAATGCAGTACGATGTGCACTGCATTACATTCAGTGGAGCACAGGGGAGACATGCAGGGTCATTTAGACTTTGGATATCTCAATAAAGAGACCCTGTCACCAAAAATCATCACATAGGGGACAGAAGTGAAAAAAATTGAACGTTACACCAAAGCACATAACATCCCCTCCCCCCAAAAAATTGAGCATACAAACGTAAAAGAACACGCTGGGGTGCCTACGTATGAAAACGTCAATTGTGATGCACATGTTACATATCGCCGTACATGCCAGAATGAGAGAAATAATTTTTAGCACCAGACCTCCTCTGTAACACTATACTGATGACCTATAAGGGACTTTAAAAGTGTCACCTATAGAAAATATAGGGTACTGAAGTTCGTCACCATTTCATGAGCGCATGCAAATTTAAGGTTTGACATGTTGGATATATATTTACTTGGTGCAACCTGGGTTTTTATATTTTACTAAAAAATATTGTAATTTATTGCTTTTTTTGTGTCCTAAAATTAACTTGTATTTTTTACTGAAATTTTGCGGTAATATCATGCGACATAAAAAAATTTGAACTACCACTATTTTATTCTCTAGGGTCTTTGCTTTAAGAAAATATATAATGTTAGGGTTTTTTTGTCATCTTCAGGCCTAAAATTATATTTTAAATGTGCAGAAAACACAAAAAACAGCTATGGCAGGGAAAAGGATAAGCCCGACACTCTCCTTTCCTGATGAGCATCCAATCGGTGCTCATTACACTGCAAGGTCTCTACCCTCCCTGCTAGTCCCCGGGTGAGGTGCTGGAGACAGGCAAGGAGGGGAGGAGGAGATAAACAGCGCAATGTTAAAATTATTACACGTTTAAGTTGCCTTAAAGCTGCTTTGTTTTTAAAAGGACAAGTGGATTGTCATGAGGGTCAAGTAGTAGGGACAAGTCCCAATACACAGATTTAGTTCCTGGACAGGTAGTTTTCAAAAATTTGCACACCCCTGATTATATATAATTTTTAATTTTTTTTTTTTCCCCACATACTGTCACCACAGCAAGCGCAGTGCCACTATCTTACTGCTGACTCGGTGATCATTTTACAGTGTACAATGGTTGGTTGCTCTGACATCACTGTGTACCAGTGCTGCCAGTCAGTATCCCTAATCACCAACACCCACTTGGTGTTCATGCATCTGAACTGACCAATCTGGACATCCCTCTGACTACTTTCCTGCGAGACACCTATCCCAGCCTTTTTCTCTGGACAACTGCACTCCTGGAACCACAAGAACCCCTTTTGTTCTTCTTTTCTTCAGCCTACTGTACTTCATGGCCTGTAAACATGACATTCCAGGGGGCTGCCACGTATGAGTAGGCTGGGCTTGTTTGACTTGTAGGAACTGGGACTGCTATAGGTGACGCAAGACTAAGCTATATTCCCTGACCACTCGTACAGAGGCGACCATTACAGTACTTTGGTTTTGACACAATTGGTTGATTTGTGAGATACATGTGGTGTTGTCATATTTAAGAGGATTAATAGAATGTTTTGAGTATACCTATGCTATGTTTGAGAAGTTAAATTGGCAACTTTATTTTTTTAACATTTTCTTTCCATGATTTTCGAAAAAAACGTGTGGCAAAAAAGTCATCAAAAGACTCTCCATGCCTCTTAAATACCTTGGGGTGTTTACTCTCAGAAATGTGGTAATTTTGTGGGTGTTTCTATTCTTCTGGTGCTCCAGGGCCTCCAAAAATCTAATAGGTAGTAAAGAAATTGGATGCATGCTTTATGCCCCTGGAATGCCTGCAGGTGTTCCTTGGATGTTGAGCCCCTTTATGTGGCTAGACTGAAAGTCTCACATGTGGAATTGCCATATTTGGGAGTAGTAGAATGTGTTTTGAGGTGTAATTGTAAGTATACCTATGGTGTGTGTGTTTGTGTAATATAACTTAAAATGACAACTGTGTGTATGTGGGGGGGGGGGGGGGGATTACATTTCTTCATTTTTCAGAAAATTACAATTTCAAAAAAAAAATGGCCTCTTAATAAAGACCTTGATTTGTTCACTCTTCAAGCAGGAGTCTTTTGGGGGGTATTTGTATTATCCTGGCATTTTAGGGCCTCAAGAAATGAGAGGGGCAGTACATCAGGATTGATCCATTTTCAAATATACCATAGTTTTGTAGTCTTGATAACTTTTTCACACAGACTAAATAATATACACTGATTTGGGTTATTTTTACCAGAGAAATGCAGAAGAATGCATTTTGACATAAAATTTTGCAAATCTTTCTTCATAAATTTAAAACAAAAACTAAAAAAAAAAAAAGTGTTTTTCCAACATTTTTGTTACTTTTTTCATTTATTTAGGAAAAAACAGTGGCAGTTACATGCCACCAAAAGAATGCTCGATCTGTCTCCAAAAATGATAAAATGTTCATTTTAGATGCAATGTTGCCTGCCCAAGTAATGGTCAGTCAAAGTGTGGTAGCACTAGAAATTGGCCTAGCCAGGAAGGGGGTGAAAGTGGGGGTCTTAAGGTGATGTCGCCAATGCAGCACTTTAAAAGCCTCCCTCCCGCCATATAAGGAAATGATGGGCGCAAGGCGGTTCTCTCGTTCTGGGAGGACGTCGTATGACGTCCTCCCACTCTAACCGTGCAGCGATCGCTGGTGCGCTGTGTCCCTGGGACACAGCGGATTACCGATAAACGGAAAGAGCTGAAGACGTCGGCTCAGGCATGTGATCAGCTGTGTCAAATCACAGCTGATCGCATGTAAATAAGGAAATGACAGTTATCAGAGGAGAGCCGGTAATCAGCATTACTCAGAGGGGACATGTATGCTGATCATCAGTGTGCCCTGATGATCAGTAGGCCCTGATGATCAGTGTAGCCCCAGCAGTGCCACCTGTCATTGCCCATCAATGCCACCTGCCAGTGCCACATCAGTGCCTACCAGTGCACATCAATGCCACATCAGTGCCCATCTGAGCTGCCTTTCAGTGCCATCTATCGGTGCTAGCCAGTGCCACCTATCAGTGCCAGTTAGTACCGCCTATCAGTGCCCATCAGTGATGCCTGTCAATTCCCATCAGTGCCACCTACCAGTGCCTCCTCATCAGTGCCCCCTCATCAGTGCAGCCTATCAGTGCCCATCACTGCAGCCATTAGCGCACATCAGTGAAGGAGAAAAATCACTTATTTACTAAATTTTATAAAAACTAAAACTTTTTTTTTTCTCACAATTTTCATTTGTTTTTGGTTTGTTTAGCAAAAAATAAAAAAAATACAGAGGTGATTAAATACCACCAAAAGAAAGTGCTATCTGTCTCAAAAAAGTTATAAAAATTTCATATGGGTACAGTGTTGCATGACCGTGCAATTGTCATTCAAAGTGCGACAGCACTGAAAGCTGAAAATTGGCCTGGGCAGGATGGGGGTATAGGTGCCTGTAGGCAAGTGGTTAAATATGTGTTGTAATGTGAAACAGTGCCGGTCTTTTGGCACCTTCTGCACCTCAGTTGCCATTTGAAATGAAAATTGGATACACTGTTACACATAAGTCTGAAGGGTTCCTTATTTTTACAGTTTCCACTTGTAGCTAGTAATATATAGTGAATAGTATGTTTTTGTATAGGGGTCAGCAGTATCTGGGGACAAATTGGACGTATTCACTATCTGGACTTTACTTTAGAGAGAGAGCGATTCATTCTAGATTTCCTTTACTCCTAAAAACATTTTTAGCAGCTTAACCAACATTTGTTTTGAGCATTTAGTGCAATACCTAAATTAGTGCCTTTTTAAAGGGCCTCCATAGCATTCCTAATGAAAGTGGCACGCTTGTGTAGTCATCCTAACTGCTCTGGGACTGGCAGTTTAACTAAAGTTCCATTCTTATTTCAGTGCAAAGTAACTGCTGAACGTTCTTGTTTAAATACGGCTCACTCGCTCTGTCATTGATCCAAAATCCGAGATATAAAGCTCAAATCTCCTGCCAAGTTTTTCCTCTGAGAAGTCTTTGTACTTGTATAAAGACCACAAAACTGAATCTGCTCTGTATTAGTACAGATGTCCGTGCTGTGTCTTTGTGAAGCTCAATTATCAAACAGCTTGTTCTATGCACAAACACTATAATTTCTAACAGTTTCATTTTTTTCTCTTGTTGCTAAATTATGCTGTTTTTGCTGATAGCATTGGGTTTGCAAGAGGTTACTTATCAGTTCTTGTTTATAGGTTGGCATGACTCCCTTTAAAGGCAGAGATTAACTAAGCATTATGAAGATAAATGAACAGTAAATGTTTTGTAGAGAGATGAAATTGCACTCAGGGCCTGGGGCCTTTGTTTAGTCTTTTCTCGGGAGCCATGCCCTGCACCTACTGCATTAGTGGCGCCTGCTTCAAAAGCCAAGCCTATTTCTGCCTGTCTGGGAGATGAATTTATATGTCGGAGTGTAATGATAATTCGAGCTCCTGCAAAAGCCTGCCAGTTCTCCACATGCGGCCTCGCCACTTCCATACAAGTACTTGTTGGCCCTGACCCGGTAGGGAGATCGCGCTTCTTTCTTCTTGCAGGCTTATTATATTCATCAGCCCTCAGCAGCTGTGACGACTTACAATCAAGCCTTTTAATGCCGGTCAAAATCCTGAAAGTCTCAAATGGCAGAAGGATGGTGTGGAATATCTAAATAACAGACTTATTTTTGTTGTACTGTTGTAATTTTTTGAAAACAAACTCCAGTCATGTTTATTTGCCTTGACTCATGATCCCTCTTGCCCTGCTCGGGGCTTTGTCAACAGCAAAACTTTAGCATCCTTTTCCTTGAACCTGCTGTGGGCTGTGAGGGTAGCTTATGCCCTGTAATTGCAGATCTCACAATAGTTGACGATGTCAGGAGCTATATTTAAAAATCCATCTCATACAGGTTGCCGTGATTGGCTGTCTATCAGAGGTGAAACTCTGAGAACTTTTTGAATGAAGCCGTTTCCTTTTCCCTACCCTATCAAGAATTTTACACTATAGGTTTTGTCATCTAATTTTTCTCCAGAATACATTTCTTTGCAGCAATGTGAATTTTTGTTTTAGCGACACTTTACAAATCCTTGATTGCTTTCTTGTAGAGCTGTTTTTGGAGCTGTACAAGCTGATCTAAATATTTAGGCTTCACTGGCTGACCTTTCTTCAAACTACTAGTTGCTCTCAGACTAATCTACTGGCTATAGTACTTTGATACATTAGCCCAGAATAAGTGTGCAGATCAGGGAATCTGATGACTTTATAAATTCTTTACTGCATACTTGTTGCAGGTTAGCAGCTCATCAAGATAATAAACAGAAAGCGCCGCCATCTAATTGTAACAATTTAACATGTAAAGAAAGGGTTAAAATACAAGGAGGAGAATAAATGGGCGGATCATCAGTCCTTATTCGCTTGAAAGCCTCTGTGGACAGAGGGTCGGTGGATGAAATGTATCCTTTAAAACCACTCTGCAGGACAGATGGAATAGAGGTGGACTCTGTCAGAATGCAGCTTAAGTCCGTATGGCTGGTTGTGTCTTCCTCCAGCAGAAACTATAACCACGCTGGAAAGCGAGCCAGCGCTAGGACTGGATGTGACATTGGAGCATATTGCCATCAAGGCGTGACGGGTGATAACATGTTTGCTCCAAAACTTATCACCCATCACGTTTTGATGTCAATACTTCCCGAAGTCGCTTCCAGTTCTGGTCCTAGTGCTGGCTTGCGTTCCAGTGCAGCCATAGTTGCTGAAGGAAGACACAGCCTGTCATATGGACTTAAGCTGCATTCTGACAGTCCAACTCTATTCCACCTGTCCTGCAGAGCAGTTTTAAAGGTGACATCTCATCCATCCACCCTCTTTCCACCGAGGCTTGCCAGCAAATAAGGACTGATGATATGCCCATTTATTTTCATCCTTGTGAGTTTTGTTTTTTTATTTAACCTTTTCTTTCTTTGTTTTTAATTAAATTGACACACTTAGATGGTGTCGCCTTCTGTTTGATTTGGTGCACAGAGATATCCAATAACCTGTTAGAAGAGCTGCAGCCATTGTAGAAGTGGATGCAATACATCTGGTCCTACCATACAGAGACTATGGCTTCTTGCCGGGAACTTTATCACTCTTTCTCTATTTGCATTATTGAGTTTTTTTTAATTTTAACAACTCATCAAAGCATATTTATAAAGCTATAAATCTGATGTTCATGTGCGGGCATTGATTCACCACTTGTAAATGTTTGACGAAAGCAATTCACTGCTTTATAAATATGACCCATTTTATTGTAGCCAAGTAGCATTTTCAATAGTCTTCGATACGTGTAAATTTTTCTCTGGTTCCTCTGTTTTATTTACCATAAATTTAAAGCAGTGTAATGCTGCTTTCTCACTGCTCCATTGCAAAAATGCATATGCATTTTTACCACTGGTGTATTTGCACCTGTGAAAAAGATGCAACACCAAAAACGTAGCCGTGAGTGCATTTTTGATGCATTTCCATTCATTTCAATGCGTAGATGTGTATTTGGTGCTTGTGGTTTTTTTTTTTTTTTTTGTTTACCTCACCAAACATGCACCAAAAATGCAGCAAGCAGGACTGACCCACAATTGACTAGTGTGAAGAGCTCCATAGGATTTAATGGTCCATGCACTTTTCTTCTGGTTTTGGTAATGCAAAAACAGAAGAAATACTGATCCGTCTGAAAGCAGCCTTAACATATCAGAAATGTTCTAATGACTTAATTTTCTGTTGCAGGCAAACATTGCAGACTTTGGGGAGAATCAGTGGATTACATGCTTCCAGGAAGCAGCTGAATCAATTCTTGGCCAGAATGCGATGTACCTGGGTGAACTCAAGGAAAAGGTTTGATGTTTCTTAGGTTATATTAAGATGAAGTCCTTGTATTACAACATAGAGCACTCTATGGACCTTGTTACCTAAAATTTCTGTAGGAATGAGTTAAAGGAGCATGGCCTGTGTCAACAGGCTTTAGGCGTGTAGTGATAGCATCAGTTTAACATCAGTCTGGGATGCTTTGACGATTGTTCTGAGTTCTTTGACAGGTGCATTTGACCTGCTTCAAGAGGGTTTTGCATTCTCATAGTCTTGTATTTTTGTTTATTCTGCTCACCCATCAAGCTCCAAAGTCTTTACATAAGACTCCTGGCTGGTATATGCATGCACAATTCTATTTACTAATTATACTCACACTAGAAAGGGTTTAGTTTAAGGTTAGGCTGGGATTGTAGCAGATTGATCACCATTAACTTAAACAATACAGACAGTGTGGAACTCGAAGCTTAGGCACATGATTATTGCAAGGCACAGATCTGGGGAAGGCTACTAAAAATTTCTGCCACGCTGAAGGTTCACAAGAGCACAGACAACCCTAATTCTCAAATGACAAGAGTGCTGGTTGTGTCAAACTTCTTCCAAGAGCTGGTCGCCCAGCTGAAACTGAGCAAACTGGGGAAAAGAGCCTCTGTAAGAGAGGGTGACCAAGAACCCGATGGTCACTCTGACTAAGCTCCAGAGATCCTGTGTGGAGATAGGACAAAGTTCCAAAAGGACAACCATCTCTGCAACCCTCCACCAATCTGGGCTTTATGGTAGAGTGGCTAGACGGAAGCCTCTGCAAAACACATTAAAGCCCACTTGGAGTTTGCAAAAAAAGCACCTGAAGGACCTTCAGTGGGTTTTCATGCGTTTTGCGTTGATTCCATCTAAGCAGTCTGCCATAAAGCTGAGATCGGTGGAGGACTGCAGTGATGGTTGTCCTTTTGGAACTTTGCCCCATCTCCACATAGGATACACACAATCCGCACGCTTTCCCGCACCGCATTCAAAACTTACTGCCTTTGCTATCTGCATCGGGTGTAGCTGCAGTGTTAATGACACCCCAAAAGCAGGCCGTACGCACAGTACGTTTCCCTGCACCAGTTCGCACGAAACTAAACTACAATGCAATCCAGTTGCAGTGCAATTCCAAAAGTACTGCATGCACAATCTTTGGTGCAATGCAGTGTGGTTTGAACCCATCCAAAATTAATGGGCTCAAATTGCACTGCACTGAATAGTGTCTGAATTGCATAGGGGTGTGCTTATACATTCCTGTGCAATTCATAGGTGATTTATAGTGTGAACCTAGGCTTAGAACAAACACATTTCTCTTTGGGAAAGTCTAAATGACTTTCCTGATGACTGCTGAGCTATTTTGACAAGTGTAAAGGTGCATGTTATTGGATGGGGCAAGTTTTCCTCCTGACAGATCCTTTGTGTTGCTCCCTCTGACCATTTCTGTGTTGTCTGTGCAGAATGAACAAGCTTTCGAGGAGGTATTTCAGAATGCCAATTTCCGCTCCTACACCTTTAGAATTCGGGTGAAGTTGGAAACGTACAATGTAAGTATGAACTTCAGAGAAAACATTCCTAAATCCCTGCAAATTTAAGCTAAGCATGATGAAAATTGTATGAAACAGAGGCTACCTTCATCTTGAGTGAAAACCACATATCAGAATGTTCACTAGATGGCCGAGCTGAAGCTATATTCTGATTTTAACTTTTCTTGGGGAAAGTGGATATTGGTCCTGTCCCTTGCAACCTTTGGACCCATTTAGGCCCTTGTTTCGGAAGGTGAGGGGGGGGATGGTTGTTGGCTTTTGGGCTGGCTATCTTACGATCTTAATCTTAACTTTGAACTCCAAGCTGGTTTTTAAGCTGGTGAAATTGGGTGGGTTTGTGGCCAATCTGAAGTGTCTGTTAGTCTTTTGATCGCTTACACATTGCTGCCCACTACATCATTTCTGGTAGGTTGGAATGGGTTTGACAGTCCAGGAATCCCCTGGAATATCAGCAAAGGTATGATGTCCTTGTGGGTGGGACAGACCAGGAGTCTCCTGGCCTGTCAATCTAATTGGACCGTGTGGGTGGGTGGAACAGACTGGGAGTCTGAAACACCCAGGTCCTCCCTACATATTGATGCTGCTGCTAGAAATAATCTGCAATGGAGAAGTTGTACAACTGGTGCTCGGTGGCAGGAGTCACTAAACTTACAGGAAGTTAGGAAAATCGAGTCCTAGAAATGCTGCATTCAATATCAGATTGTTCATTGGCTGCTGCTTTATTTGCAAAAATGCCCTAATAGAAATGTATGCATGGAGTTAAGTTTTAAGAACAATCTCTTGTATGTCATAAAAAGTATCTATAAATATGCAAATAAAATGTGAATCGTTCCACACCTGCTGTGTACTCATAGACCAAAAATAATGTTTATTTTTTTTGTGAAATGGGACATATGAGAAATACATATGCATCTCGTAACCCTTTCTGCTACTTCCTTGGGTATAACAGAATGAAAAAAATCCCTGCTTTAATATTTAACAATGGCTGTTTAATACATCCATAATTTATAATGGATTTATTTGATTTGACAACATCTATTCTTATTTGAGGCCTGCTCATTAGAATGAGTAATGTTGAGCATGACTTTGAACATGTAATGTCCTTGTATAGCAAAATGGTTAAACCTCCCATACAAATGAATTCCAGGAAAGGCCACCTAACATTAGCATTGCGTTCCAGCTTCATGTTCCTGGTACATGCGTGGGTTGAGCCTACTGTTCCAACTTGCTGCAAGTTACAAATGTGTGTGTCAGATTTACCCAGTTGTTTTTATCTTGGCGTCCAAGATTTATTTTAATTATGTTCATGTGAAGTACCACCTACTCCAATAGTTTTAGAAAGAAAGCTGTTTAGGTGGGATTATATGAACTACCACAGTTGGCTTGTCTACACAGCAGTGACTAGTGTTTTGGCTCAGTGCTCCAGATCTTGAAATTAATCTATGCTTGTCTGAGCTTCTGGAGCATTTGAATTACAAAACTGAGGCTCAATATAAAAATGATTCTTATTTAATTGTACTCAGAAGCTTCTGGGTATTAGTGCTTTTAAAGGAATATTAATCCCAAAAACGAAACAAGTATTTCAGCTTAACAATTCTTAGATGTGGTGGCTGCATTCGTTTTCTTCTTTAGGCTTTTTTTTTTTTTGCTTTTTTCACCTGATGATTCTTTCAGTCTATTCTTTTTCAACATAATTTAGCAAACCAAGCTTTCCACAGTAGCCATTAGAGCAGTGGTTCTCAACCTTCCTAATGCCGTGACCCTTTAATACAGTTCCTCATGTTGTGGTGACTCCCAACCATAAAATTATTTACCCAGTAATTATAATTCATGAGTGTTGTTTTACCTCCAATACTGCTGCTTTCAACACAGTAGCTGCTTTTAACAGAGTAGCTGCTTTCAACACAGCAGCTGCTTTCTACACAGTAGCTGCTCTTTACACATCGGAAATATGTGTTTTCTGATGGTCTTAGGATACCCCTGTGAAAGGGTCGTTCGACCCCCAAAGGGGTCGCGACCCACAGGTTGAGAACCACTGCGTTAGAGGGTTGAGGCAAACCGTTTACCGCTGACAGGGGTGCTTACAGTCGTCAGCTTTTATTCATCTATGTATGTAAATCCTTTATCCCGAAAGGGAAAAAAAACAGTTGGCTGTAACTGTTTAAAAAGTGGAGTTCAGCTTCAATTTGTTAGACTAGCAGATTTAGATGGATTTAACTAACTCTCTCCTCTCCCCAAACTGACAGTGCTCTGTTCAAAGATGTCTGCTTTAACTACATCATCCAGAATGCATACACCCTAAAACAAGAAGTGTTACTAGCTGGATCACCAGCTGAAATAGAGGGGTAAAAGCTTTAATAAGAAAACGAATGCAGTCACCACATCCAAGGATTGGTAAGCTGCAATTTAGTACCAGGGATGTTGAATTCCTATCGCCCGATGCCTGGAACATGCAGTTCCGGTCACCAGGCAAGAAGTTTTTTTTTTTTATATACATTTAGCCCTGCTGTGGGCAGGCAGCAGGGTTTAGAGCCAACAGTCGGCTCTCGTAAAATTGGTTCAAGCCACGGCACCACCTGCCTGGAGTTTGCATGTTCTTCCTGTGACTGCGTGGGTTTCCTCCGGGTACTCCGGTTTCCTCCCACATTCCAAAGACATGCTGGTAGGTTAATTGGCTCCTGTCTAAATTGTCCCTAGTATGTGTATGTATGAATGTGAGTTAGGGACTTAAGATTGTACACCCCTTGAGGGTTAGGGACTGATGTGAATGTACAATATGTGTATGTAAAGCATTGTGTAAATTGACAGCGCTATATAAGTACCTGAAATAAAGTGGCTTCAGAGAGGTGGGGGGGGGCGCGTCCCCTCCCATTGCCTTCTGCAGGCTGTCCAGACGTTTGGAACCCCCCTCCCACTTGGCAGAGGCACACGCCAGTCCAGTCCTGCCCCCTCCCCCCTCTGCCCATTGGTGGAGAACGCAGCTAGTCAGAGCCAGGTGTTCTCCGTGTCCAGCAGCTCTCCATAAGAACACAATCAGGGCCAGGTGGCCATACGGAGAACACCTGGCTTTGACCGGCCGCTCTCCAATGGGCAACAGGGGGTGGGGGGGTGTTACTGGAATAGTGGGAGGCGGGACTTTTTTAATATATAAATATATGTATGTAGATTTTCTATTTATATTTTTATATATTGTAGTAGTAATCTGATTACAGTTCTCTGCAGAATGAATAGATAATAATATATATTTTTTATTTTCTCTATAAAATATAGCTATATTTATTTGCATTTATTTTGATATTTTTATTTTCTATTTATATTTGCATTTATTTTTGTTTAATTTTTTATCTGCAGATATATATTTTTATTTTTTACATTTTTTATATATATTTATTATTTTTGTTGGTAATATCAGATTATGGTTATGTGCAGAATATTATATATTTTTCATTTAATTCATTTTTTTTTTATATATTTACATTTTTAGTTTTTGTTATAGTTCAATTATTGTTATCTGCAGCCTTGTATTGTCCGAGTCCATCCACTGGGAGGGGAGACAGAGCCTGTCCAATCTGGGGCACCCGAACAACCAGGCAGTGCTTCTTCTGGCTGATCATAGAAGCTGATAAAGACTATGATATAGGAAGCAATGAGCATACATCTCTTTCCCGAACTGGAAACTGCACCATTTTTAAAAATGGAGAGCATTTGATCACACCGATCTTGGTGTGATCAAATGCTTTTTAGGGCAGAGGAGGGATATGGGGTCTCATCGACCCCAGATCTCGCCATAAAGAGTACCTGTCACTGCCTCTTGCTGTCACAGGGGATGTTTACATTCCTCGTGACAGCAATAAAAGCAATTAAAAAAATTTTAAAGTGACTGTGGCAAAAGAAATTCTACATTTAAAAAAAAAAAAAAAAGTTAACGCACCCCCTGTGCTCACGTGCAAAAACGAATGCATGCATCAGTCCCACACGCTTGCAAACGGTGATTGTCCAACATGCACATTACATCGCTTGTGGTAACCTATAAAAGCTTTTAACGCGTCACCTATGGATAGTAAAATTTACACGATTTGTTGCCATTGCATGGGCGTGTGCAATTTTAAAGCATGACATGTTTGGTTTCTGTTTACTTGGCGTAACATCACCTTTATATTTTACCAAAAAAATTGGTCGGGTTTTTTTTTTTTTTTTTTTTTTTTTTTTGCATTAAAATTCCAAAAAGTGTATTAAAAAAAAAATCGTTTGAAAAACTGCTGTGCAAAAAATAAAAAAACATGTTTAAGTTGCCATACAGCCCCTTTCATTTTTAAAAGCCCTAAAAGCACCTCTGCCTAAGAAAAAAATCAACCCTTTTATATTTTCCATTCTGAGAATTTTTTTTTGTCAGGACAAGTAGATTGTATTGAGGGACAAGTAGTATTTTAAACAAAAAAATTCCACCCCCCGAGTACATATTTGTTTTGGGGTTTAAAACTGCTTTAAGCCATTTGCCATACTCAAAAACTTTGACTCTAGAATTTGTGTGCATAGGCATTATACTAGGAAGCTTTTATGTTCCCTGGCCTTGCTTTTGGTTGGTTAGGATTTGGTTTGAACTGTTTCTTAATTTGTATTCACTTGTAAAAATGCAGTTCATATGCAAACGCCCATGTATACAAGACCTTGAGTTTTTGATTTTTTTTTTTTTTTTTTTCTTTTTGTTCCCCCATGGTATAGAGTAGATATTCCAGTGTGTAAGACATAACCAGGATGTTCAATATTTTTTTCAGGTCATTTAGGTTTCATTTGCAGAATAGCTTTGTGTAGGAATTTGCTTATTCTTTTATCTACCAGTGGTGGGCTTCAAATCTGTCATGAGTATTGCAATCTACATCTGTGTGCTTTTTTTCCTCTGTGACCATTTAGGAAATGGCAGTAGACATCAATTCTCTAAGTGGAGGGAGCTTTTATGGAGTGAGAAATTTAGATTGATTCTGGGTCATACTAACAGCAGG